CCCGGTCCCGGTCCCGGTCCCGGCGGGCGCTCCCGCTGCCCCATCCCACCGCCTCCACACCCCCCGCCCGCAGCCCAATCCCACCGGCTGAGCCCCCCCGTGGTGCTGCCCACTGGGGAAGGAGCGTCCTGGGTGGGTCCCTGGGGGATGGGGGGTCTCACCGGCTGCACCATCCCACCGGTGGCCCCCCGGGACCGGGCACCGGCAGCGAGACCCCCCATCCCTCTCCCATCCTTCCCACCGGTCCCAACGGCTGGGAAACCTCCCGCCCCACCGCCCGGGCTCCCGGGGCCGAGGATGCCCAGCCGAACCGGTGGCGGTCACCCACCATGGCGGCCGTGCCACCCAAGGCCACCTCCACCACCACCTCGCCGGGGCGCCAGGCATTATCCGGGTTTATTCCACCCCAGCGAAAGGGCAACGCTGGCGACTATCTTATCGCTGCCTTTCCGACCCAACCCAAACTCCAGCCGCGGGCGATGACCCCAGCGGGCTCCGGAGGCCGGGGGGCAGGAGCAGGCGCAGGGCACAGAGCCGAAAGCCTCCCGATGCCAAGGCGGCGACGGGTGGGTGAGAAAAGCGAGCTGCAAAACCCGTCCGCCAGCACCTTGTTTTTCTCAGGGTGAAGAAGCTAATCCCGGGTTTAATTACACCTAAATTCAGCGGGAGATAATCTAATCAGCCTCATTAAGGGGAGGTCCCGGACTGGTACGGAGATTTGGGCCGTAGGCTGGCCGGGGTGAGCGGAGCCGCGTGCCGAGGGTGCCCCGGCTCCCCCAAATCCCCCCAGTTCTGCACCCTGCCAGGGGGGGCTGTGACTCGCTGGGGTGTCACTGGAGCAGGGGGACACGCGGTGACCATCCGGTGACTGGCTCCATCCCAAAGGATGCCACCAGTGATGGAGAACAGCCGCTCATCATGGCTGCACGTGGGGGCAGGGACAGGGCGCAGGCTGTCTCTTCTCTCCTGGGACAGTCTCAGTCCTGGCTGGGACTTTTTTGGGGGGGAGACAGGGAGGGGACAAACCTCCAGCCTTGGGGCTTTTGGGGTGGGAGCGGGGACCCCTCCGCCAACAGTCCCTCTTCTCCCCACAGTTTCGGGAGAACCTGCAGGATGTGCTGCCCTCCCTGCCCTCCCAGGACGACTATTTCCTCCTGAAATGGCTCCGAGGTAACCCCAGGGTGGGGGGGACACAGCGGGGGGGAGGGGGCTGGAAGACCCCATGGGGGGGCTGTGGAGGTGGAGCTGGGGACGCTGGTGGCTGGGCTGAGCTTTCTGCTCTCTTGCAGCGCGCTGCTTTGACCTGCCCAAGTCAGAGGCGATGCTCCGCAAGGTGAGAGGGGCACCGGGCTTTTTGGGGGGACCCCACCAAACTGCCATCGAGCTCCCAGTTGTCACCTGGGGTGGGACAGCGTGCCGTGGGCCACCGGCCCAGCCTCTCTCTCCCAATAAGGGTGATCTGCCCATGGGGTGCACCCCATCCCATGGGATGGGGGGTCCCCAGATCCCCTCACCCCGGCTTGCTCTGCCTGCCCCTCGCAGCACCTCGAGGTCCGCAAGCACATGGACGCCGACAACATCATTGCCTGGGAGGCCCCTGAGGTGGGTGTCCCCAGCCCCAGGGTGGGCATCACTGGAGGGGACTGCGTTGTGTCCCCCCCGGGGAGGGGTGCACGGTCGCCCTGAGCCCCCCGTACTCCCGCAGGTGATCAGAAAGTACATGTCGGGGGGAATGTGCGGCTACGACCGGGAGGGCAGCCCCATCTGGTACGACATCATCGGGCCGCTGGACGCCAAGGGGCTGCTCTTCTCCGCCTCCAAGCAGGACCTGCTCAAGAACAAGTTCCGTGACTGTGAGGTGCTGCGGCGAGAGTGCGAGCAGCAGAGCAAGAAGGTGGGTGCCCGCCTGCCTGTGCCCTGCCAGCCCCACCAATCCGTGTCCCCACCAGCCCCAAGACCACGTCTCTGCCAGCCCCGTAAGTCCACATCTGGTCCATCCCCACGACCATGTCTCTGCCAGCCCCATAAGTCCACATCTGGTCCATCCCCACCACCCAATGTCCTCCCCAGCCCCACAAGTCCATGTCCTGTCCATCCCCACCAGCTCATGTTCCCCCTGTCCCGTGTCCCTGTCCCAGCACCAGCCCGCAATGCCCCTTCTCACACCAACACTTGGGAGGAGGTTCTGGCCCAGGGGGGACCAGCCCCCCCCGCCACGGGTCCCTGCAAGGGTCGAGCACCACCTAAGCCCCCCCCGTCTCATTCCTCCCGTCCCAGCTGGGAAAGAAGATCGAGATGGTGATGATGGTCTATGACTGCGAGGGCCTGGGCTTGAAGCACCTCTGGAAGCCAGCTGTGGACACGTACGGGGAGGTGAGGGGCTCCCTGCCCGACTCCCCCCTTCCCCGGCCGGGGACCGTGGCCATCCCCAGGCTGCAGCAGTGACGCAGGGATCCGGGCTGACTCATGGCCCCGAGGGATGATGCAAGAGCAGGTCCCTGCCAGTGCCCCACACCCCCCTGGCGTTTTGGGGTGGGGGTTCCAGCCCGCACCCCACCATGCTCCCTCCATGCCCTGGTGGGTACGTGGGATGGGAAGATGACCTGAAGCTCTCCCCCTGTCCTGCAGCTCCTGTCCATGTTTGAGGAGAATTACCCCGAGTCCCTCAAGCGCCTGTTTATCGTGAAGGGTGAGTTTGGCCCCAGGCTCCCACTCCTCCTGGCTGGGTGCTGACCCCCACCCTAATGCCCTAACCCTCCGTCCGCCCCCCAGCCCCCAAGATCTTCCCTGTTGCCTACAACCTCGTCAAGCACTTCCTGAGCGAGGACACCCGCAAGAAAGTCGTGGTCCTGGGATGTGAGTCCTGACCCCCTCCCCGGGGTGTCCCTGGCTGGGGGAGGGGGAGGTGTTGGAAGCCTAAACCAGGGTGCCACGTCCCCCTCTGCTTTCGTCCCACCCAGGGTTGAAACCCCAACCCTGGGGGGGGTCCCCAGGCTGGGGCTCCCCGCAGGGGTCACAGCCCCCCAAACCCCGCTGTCCTCCACCCCACCAGCCAACTGGAAGGAGGTCCTGCAGAAGTACATCGACCCTGACCAGATCCCAGTGGAGTATGGCGGCACCCTGACAGACCCTGATGGGGACCCCAAGTGCTCAAGCAAGGTAAGAGAACCCCCCCCCGGGTTCCTCGGGGGTGTACGGATGGTCCCCCCCATATCCACGTCCACCTCCATCCCCTTCCAGATCAACTACGGGGGGGACGTACCCCAGCACTACTACGTGCGGGACCAGCTGGCGCAGCAGTATGAGCACACGGTGGTGGTCAACCGCGGCTCGTCCCACCAGGTCGAGTACGAGATCCTCTTCCCCGGCTGCGTCCTCAGGTGAGGAGGGGGCTCCACGTCACGGGAAAGGGGGGGAGGAACACAACACAACAGCAGGCGTCCCCAGCCCCGCCACCGGACCCCACCGGCTCTTTTCGGCACAGGTGGCAGTTCAGGTCGGAGGGAGCCGACGTGGGTTTCGGGGTGTACCTGAAGACCAAGATCGGGGAGCGGCAGCGGGCGGGCGAGATGACGGAGGTCTACCCCAACCAACGCTACAACTCCCACATGGTGCCCGAGGACGGCTCCCTCACCTGCTCCACACCCGGCATATGTGAGTGCGTCCCCCTTCCCCGGGGCGTTGGGGGGACCCCCCCGGGGGTCCTCCCCCATCTCCCTGACACCCACCCCCCCCTCGCCCCATCTTCCCGCAGACGTCCTGCGCTTCGACAACACCTACAGCTACCTCCACGCCAAGAAGGTGAGCTACAGCGTGGAGGTCCTGCTGCCCGACGCCGCCTCCGCCCAGCAGATCCAGAACCTGGGGGACAAGCTCAGCGAGGTGGCCCTCAACCACAGCCCCTAGCGACGGCCCCCCCACCCTCCACGGCCCTGGGTCGTGTGTGTGTGTCCCCAACACCGCGGGGGACCCCGATGTCCCACGGCTGGGCAGGGCGACTGTTCCGTGCCCCCAGGATGGCCAGCTGCCCCCTGCCCCAGCATGGCGGCTGGGAGGATGGAGAAATTGGGGGGGGGGCTGAGCCCCCAGAGCTGACGGACCAAGGTGGGGGGGCTGAGCGGAGCTGGAGCACCCAGGGCATGTGTGTGTGTGTGTGTGTGTGCCCCCTACCTCTCTGTGCCTTATGTGGGTCCTGTGCCCACCCGCTGCTGTGTGGGGTGGGGGGAGTAAAGGGATGGACTGAGAGCTGGGTCTCCGCTGGTTTCTGT